GTTTTGGCCCGACGCTCTCCTTCTGCTCACCGGCGTCGTTTTCACGCCAGAAACCGAGTCGTGGCGAAAAGGTCCGAGCAGAAAACACAAACCAAACGCATTCCAGCCGAAGCTCGAGGCCTCCTGAGCTCCCAGAGACGTGCAGCTGCTGAAGCCTGTTTCGGCTCCGAGCGCATGAAAGTGAAAACATTCCTTGAGATTAGGATGTTTTTGGGTGAGAGTGTGAACTCTGTCACACCGTTAGTTTTCACCGAAGTGGGACAAAGCTGCAGTCGAGTGATTATTCGTGATTATTTTCTGGTGAAAATGTCGAATGGTGCCGATATTCAGACACAAAGGAGCGAAAAAAAACCAGAAAATATTCAGATTTAAGAAGCTTTAATGCAGCAATTTAGACTTTTTCCCCACAAAATATAATTTATTTTATTAGCTGACGATTAATTTAGTTGAGAATGAGGCAGAAGCTGCTTATTTAAGCAGATTACATGTAGGTTTCTCAGAAATAGAGTGATGGATTACAGCGAAATATTAAAACATTAGGTTGGGTTTTTAGCCAACAGTTGATGAGTTTTAGTTCATTGTTTGCTCCGTTTTTGGTCTCCACCACCTCCAGAGGGAAATATCTGGGTTTTTTAAAATAAAAAGTTATAAAAGCAACAACAGTCGGTGAGTAAATTAGTAAAAAAGACGATAAAGTGCTGAGAAGAACTGCAGGATTGTGTGATAACTACATGAATTCATCTCTGTCAGCGTCAACCCTAAACCTGGCAGCAGTTTCTGGATGTTTTTTGAAATTAAAAAGAGAAAATGGAAGAATAAATGACCAAAAAAAACACCTGTAATCAACACGTGTGTGCTAACAATGCTGAAACAACAACACACGCTATATTTATTATAGATGTTTTATTTATTTCAGTTCAGCCGAAAAGTTCTTGAATTTTAGTTGCGTGATGGTTTCTTGCTGCTGAGTCGCGGATGCTTTTCTGCCGACCAGTGAGGAATTTTTATTTTTTTACAGAATTAATTTATTTTAAATTGATTTTGATAAAAACTTTGAATCGTGGTAAAGTTGAACGATTCCTTCTGTTGGTGTCTACGTGATTTCAGAGGGACTCAGTCGGGATAAAATCAAACAGTTTGTCTACTTTTCTGTGTTCGTCTGCAGGATGTATTAGATTTTGGACAAACGGAGACATTCGGGAGCTTAGAAACAGGTTTAATCAAGACACTAGCTGCGAGATTAAGCGATAACGAACGTCGCTGCAGCTGTAATCTGAATCACAGCCGACACCGGAGACGCTCCGTCGCCGTTCTCTTCGGTGGAAGCTGAAGAGTGGCGTGATGAAAGCGGTTTGTTGTGTTATTGACACTGACCTATTTTTCCACGCTCTGCCTCCCCGAGCCTGGTGCTAATAGAGCCTTTTCTTCTCTTTAAAGCTCGTCTTACACCACTTCTCCTCCGCTAAACTCTCCAGAGCGCCGCGTATCAGAGAGCAGCAGTTTAAGCTGCCAGTCAGACTCGACGTCGCAGCGACGGGCGTTTGGTTTGACGAGAGCGCCTTTCATCCTGCACTCGTTTCTGTTTGAGAGCCCGATCAGTTTGTGTCACGATGTGGATCAAAAGACAAACGGCTTGTTGGGTTTAATCAGAAAAAAGACTTTCTGTGTGTTTATAGTCTGAACTCCACGTCCTCCGGCAGGTCTGGTCTTAAAAAAATCTGCAAAATGATGTCATTTGTAACATCACAAAGCTGTAAAACCAGAAAACGTGGCTGGATTTTTATCTTTCCGGCAGGTGTTGAGCTTTGAATCATGATACTGCAGCAAAATCACCTCATTCTGCACGACTCACTTAAAAAAAAAATCACCAAAAATAAAACGTTTGCGCCGATCACATTCTGTAAAAAACAGAAAATTCTGCGCTCCGCGTTGCAGCCGTGAAGCTGTCGACGGCTCAGCTGTGACCGACGGTCGCAGGACAAAAATTCAGAGAATTTTCAGGTGCAAATGATTAAACTAGAGAGCAGCAGGTTGTTGGAGGATCCATCCTGCACGGTGAAACGTCTGCAGCCGAGTGTGAAAGACAATAAAACATCTGCTGCATGTGAAGCCACTTTTCTTTTCCTCTCTTGGTAACAGAAAAATGTTGTATGTCAGAAATGACAGTGAAGATTTCAGGCGTTTATCTTGAATAGTTTCTGAGATGTTGTTGTTCAAACTTTCTATTTGAAAAAAAAATCTGCTTTTTAAAAAAATCTCTCTGAAAACTGAATGCATCAGTCTGAAATTTCACACGAGCCATTTTCAATATATGATAAAAAAAAAAAAAAAGAGGAACTTCATTGACTAAATGTAGAACTACCTTAAAGACTAAATGACCCCAAAGAGAGAAAACGACAACAGAAAGGCTAAAAGTTAGCACAAAGACACTCAAAAACAGCTTAAGAAGATGCAAAATGACCAGAAAGAGATTAAAAATTGCCAAAATGAGATGCAAAACCCTCACAGAGACACACAAAATGACCACAAAGAGACAGAGAACGACAACAGGAAGACTAAAAATGACCACAAAGAGAATCAAAGCCACCATAAGAAGGAACAAAATGACCGCAGAGATTAAAAACTGCAAAAATAGGATGCAAGACCCTCACAAAGAGACACACAATAACCACAAAGACATGCAAAATGACCACAAAGAGAATCAAAACCACCATAAGAAG